ACCTACCTAACATGCTTTTGTAAATGGATGGCAGAACAAGGGCTGGGAAAGATAGTAAGACAAACATTGCTTAGAGCTACGAAGAATAGGAAGTTGTGGATAGCCATGACCGTTCATGTACTGAAAGTACATGGTACATAAAAGAAGATGGATTTATGTGTGTGTAAAAACAAAAACAATAACAAACAAGATAACCCTATTTTTTTCCTCAGACATTTCAATAAAAAGGTAGCAGTTCATAACAGGTATCATGTTAGTCAGCCAATTAACTACACAATTGCAAATGCATATTATGTCTACCAGTCCGGTTGCAATTAGGAGAAAATGTGTATAGGGGGTGGCACATGTCATGTCTGTCTGTAAATAAGAGACAAATGAGATGGTATCATGCAATACTGCAAAACAGGTTGGTGGCCAGCAGTTCAACATTGAGCACACTTTTCCACTGTTATCAAAATCAGATTGTTGACGAGGGGAAGTAAACATATGACACATAAATATCAATAAAGTGACTGTAAGTAAAGCAGCTCTTTTCTCCATGAATAGATGAAAATAAAGAGAAAAAAGAAGAGAAAAAGGATAAGATCAGGAAAAAGAGAAAGAAAGAAGAGTGAAAAAAAGACAAAAACAGAAAAGAGAGAAAAAGAAATGATAAAAAGAATAAAAGAAAGAAAAGAAAAGAAAAGAAATGAAAAAGGGAATGAAAAAAGAAAAAAAGAAATGAAAAATGAGAAAAGAATGAAAGGAAAAAGAGGAATGAAAAAAATAAAAAAAAAGGAAAAATGAAAAAAAAAAAGTGAAGGAAAAAGAAATAAGAAAAAATGAATGAAAAAAAAGAAAAAAAAAGTGAATGAAAAAGAAATAAGAAAAAAAGTGAATGAAAAAGAAATAAGAAAAAAAGTGAATGAAAAAGAAATAAGAAAAAAAGTGAATGAAAAAGAAATAAGAAAAAAAGTGAATGAAAAAGAAATAAGAAAAAAAGTGAATGAAAAAGAAATAAGAAAAAAAGTGAATGAAAAAGAAAAAAAAAAAAGTGAATGAAAAAGAAATAAGAAAAAAGAAAAAAGAAATTGAATGAAAAAGAAATAAGAAAAAAAGAGATTGAAAAAGAAATAAGAAAAAAGAGATTGAAAAAGAAATAAGAAAGAATGAAAAATAAAGGATAAAAAAGAAGAAAACAGAGAATGAAAAAGAAGAGAATGACAAAAAAAGAAAGAAAGAAAAATATCAGAAAAAAGAAACCAAATATATAAGAAAATTTTTTTTTTAAATTAAAAAAATGAAGGCGAAATAAAAGTGAAATAAAAGCGAAAAAGAAAGTAAAAAGAAAAATGTAAAGAAAAGAATAACAAATAAAAAAAGGCCTAATTTCATTTTCTGATTCTGTCAATTGAACAATTTCATTGCAGGTTTTAGAAGTATTTGATCTTGCAAGCCTTTTGGAGTGAAAAACTTAACTATATTGTCCTTTTTTACTGTAAGCTAAAACCTTCTTTTCCTTTTAGACTTCTAGTGTAAGGCAGAGCTATATCATCCTTTTTGACTAGTGTAAGCCTAAACTATGTTTACTTTTTTGACTATGTCGATTTTTTTGACTGTAGTGTAAGCCTAAATTATTTTAGCCTTTTTGACTGTAATATAAACTGAACCCATCTCTACTTTTCTGATTGTAGTGTAAGCTGGACCTACGTCTACCTTTGAGACTGTAGTGTAAACCAGACTTATGTTGCCCTTTTTGACTATAGTATAAACTGAACCCATCTCTAACTTTTAGGTTGTAGTGTAAGCTGGACCTATGTCTACCATTTAACTGTAGTGTAAATTGTACCTCTGTCGATCTTTGTGTAACTCCAGTGTAAACTGGGCCTTTGTTTACCCATTAATTCACTGTGGTTTTTGTACTCTTCAATTTATATTTGACATTAAATAACTCAGCAAGGGTCGATAGGTCATTAATTCAACAATTCTAACTTAACATTGTAGACATAATTCTATGACTTCTGTCTGGAAAGGACTGAACTGTTTCTAAGAGAAAAAAAAAAAAAAAAAACCTATCTAGGGCAGTGACACCTTAGTCTTCTTTAAAATAAGCCTCTTGGGGGACCTCACATCTATCCAAGCATTCCCTTCTACTTTTCCAAACCATTAGCTAAAATCACTACATGGCATTGACATTAATCCTTACCTTTCATAATAGCTTGAAATTTCCTCTTTAGTATTTGGGAAAAAAAAAAGACAGAATACAGAGGGAGCCAAATCTCGACTGTAGATGTGAGGAACTGGACCCTAATATGCCCCCCCCCACCAAAAAAATTGCATGACACACTGTGAAGCAATGGTTGCCCAATACACAAGGGTAATGATAATATTAGCTGTTTCCTTGTAAGAAAACATTTGGCATTCATCGACCGAGCTGACAGTTCTGCTTTCAGTTACACTTTATAAAATTGTTCTCTTAAAACAATTTTTCAGGAAAAAACAGTTTTTTCAAAAACAGCAGCTGTTATCACTCTTTCCAGTATTGATGTCGGTTTTCCTTTCTAACCTTTTATTCGAAGTAATGTTGGAACGTTAACATCTTGACTATATCATTATTTTCTCTTCAAGTTATATGTGATAGACTTTTTTTAGCTGTTGCTACTGTTGAAAGTAACAATATGATGTGGTTTATGTTATCTGGTACAGTTGTGATTGTATAGCACCAATCTACAATGTTCTAAGAAGGATGGTCCTTGACAAGATCCACAGGCTTCACTCGCTCAAAGCCATTTTTGACCATTAAAAAGCTAGCAGTTTAGATATTTCTTAATAGGTTTGACACCATCCCTAACATCCATATGAAAGTCTTGATCTGATGAGGCTATTTAAGAACATGAATTAAGTTTTTAGATTAATGTTTTGGTTTTATTTGTAGTGTTGGGTGAAACTATCTCTAGTGCAGCCTATTCTATGTTTAATTTCCTTTTTTCCTATAGTAAATTTATTATAACAAGCTTATTATTATCTGTTGACTAAGTAACCCCACAGGAGAGTTTCTGTTCCCAAATGCAGTAATTTTTTTTTTCTAATCAGTTTCTAAGTACATCAAGGCTACACAACCGGTTATCAAGGTATTCAAAATAACTGGATCCTGGCTGGAGAGACCTCATACATAACAAGATAAATATTGGAAATTCTATATTATGCAGCCACCCTGGAACTACAAAATTACAGTCCCTATCCCCTATGCAAATAATAAAGCTCACCTTGGTAACCTGAAGTGAATGAGTCATTAAACAACTGACCTGTGTCCAGCTCAAATAATAATTTGTTTCATACTGAGGTGGGTGGAGTTTAAATGGAAGGATTATTTGTTAATCAAAGAGTCAACATGAATGAGAAAATCTCTTAATAAAAACTGAAGTGAAACAGAAATGCTAATCTTCAAGCTAAGTAATCCTTTCAAAACATTTAATTTTTATTTTAGACTTTTCTTATACAGTGTAACCCGGATATAAGAGAGTTGTCGGGACCGGAGAAGAAGTCTCTTATAGTTTCTCTTATATCCGGGTTTGGTCTATTTTATATACATTTTCTCTTATATCTTATATCCGGTTTGGTCTATTTTATACATACATTTGGGGACCAGAGAAAACTTATACAGGCTCTAATTTGGTCTATTTTATATACATTAACACAGGACTAAGAGAAAATCTCTCTTATATCTGGGTTTGGTCTATTTTATATACATTCTTATACATGGGTTTCTCTTATATCCGGGTTTGGTCTATTTTATATACATTAACACAGGCTCTAATTTGGGACCAGAGAAAATCTCTCTTATATCCGGGTTCCTCTTATATCCGGGTTTGGTCTATTATATCGGGTTTGGTCTATTTTTATACATTAACACAGGCTCTAATTTGGGACCAGAGAAAAATATCTCTTATATCCGGGTTTCTCTTATATCCGGGTTACACTGTATCTGCTTGAGTCATAACTAATTGCTGTTTTCGTTTATCAACTTCATTCGTAAAAAAATAAACAAAATACAACTGTTGACTTAGCTAGAAGCAACCCTCACTTCTATTCTAATAGTTTATTTTCTTGCATTTCTCGTCTCTGGGACACTTTTTCTAATTTCTTGTTTCACTGCTTCCTACAATCTTCAAATACAATGCCAATTGCCAATGTCTGTTTTCCTGAATACCATTCTTTTATTGTTCTTTTTGTGTCTTCTCACTCTCTTCCACTCCCAATAACACCTTGTGTCTTAGTGGCATTATCACCTTGCTTGGGGTGAAATGATTAAAAAACAAAAGAAAAACAACTGCATTTTATTCACCTAGGAATACCTTTGAAAATGTCATGACTTTGCTAATGGAATTTTCTGATGAATTGTAATTCTTAAGTTAATGATTGAATAAGCACCTTGCGAGGCTCAAGAAAATAAAAAATTTGAGGAAATTTCCCTATTGCAGCATTAAATACTTGAGTTTAATAACTTTAACAAAATATCATAATAACTATGAATGCATTAAATTATTCAAAGAAGTAAGAGGGTACAAGTGAAAAAAAAATTGAAATTGACAAGTTTTTCTACTACACTAAAGCAGGTGTTTTTATGTGCACAAATACCCTTCAGAAACGTATAAATCCACCTCTTCTCCCCAGCTATGGGTTAATTAGTAAGACTTGTATCACTAAATTATTATCATCTCCAAAATAAAATAAATTGCATTCGGCAATAAATAACCCATAGAGGCTGATATGCCACTAAACAAAAACAACCAACCAACAAAAATCTTACTCTGTAACCTACCTTGAGAGGCTCTTGGGCCTTTTTCACAGTGAACATTGGAAAAAAAAAAAAAAAAAACCCTATAAAAATCACGATGAAGACAACAGTTTGAATAGACCGGTGCATAATCATATAATAATTGTGCCTGCCCTGCCTTACATACCGTCATAAACTGTACCCCTTACTTCTTACTCTGTAAGAATCTTATAGTTACATCATACTGAAACACCAGTTCCCATACAATTATTGAAGTTAAGCAATGTCAATCCTGGTCAGTACTGAGATGAGTGATCTCTTGGGAATATCAGGTGCTATAAGTTCGGATATTCAGGTGATGTAAGGGACAATGACTCGGAATTATTACTCAGAGAGCTGAGTTTCAATTCCTGCTGGGTTCAATATATTCACTTACGCACAAATACCCTTTGGAAAGGTATGAATCCATCTCCTCTCCCCCCAGCTATGGGTTAATTAGTGATACTTAGATCACTAAACCATTTATGTTCTATTAGCTATAATAATCATATAATTGTGCATGTTCCTCCCGTCTAGTTCCTTAGTTCCCACAACTGTTACACCCTGACATAATACAGGGACTATTCCATTTTGATTGGGTGAGAAGACAAAAGACTTGGTTTTAGTCAGAAAATGAAAGAAAGAATGGAAGATAGTAGTCTAAGAGGCTGTTTCAGTGAAATGGTTTAGTTTGGTTTGTTTTACAGCATATCAACCCCAATGGGTTATTTAATGCCGACAAGATTTTTATTGCTGGTAATATTTTTTTTTTTTTTCAAATGTATTGTTGGTAATTTTTTTTTTCTTCAAAAATGTATCGCTTGTACTTTTTTTTTTTTTTAAATGTATAACTGGTAATAACTTTTTTTACAAAGTATTTCTGGTATTAAAACTTATTTTTACACTTTCATAATGTTTTGACCCCAGTTTGGGGGGTTAACTATTTGCCCATAGCTGGGACCCTAACAGGTGCTACCACCCCAGATTAGGGTGGACCTGGGAACACCAGCAATTAAGAGGTGGTTCCATGCTCCTCAAAATTTCCTGATCAGAGGCCTTGCTGTTGGACATATTTTATCATCTTGCTCAGGACGCAGATGTAGTTTATCATCATACCCAGGACTGTCAGTGAAATGGAAAAACTTGTCAATTTCAAATCTTTTCATTTGTACCCTCTTCTTAAAATAATGACCAGCATTCATATTTTGATTGTTATTGCAATATTTTGGTAAAGCTGTTAAGCTCAAATATTTAACAATGTGTTAGAAGAATTTCAACGGATATTTTACCGCCGCAGAACTTGCCATGAACTTAGTCAATCATTAACTTAAGAATTAAGATGGATCAGAAATAGGAAAACAGTGAAATTTTCACAGCTTAAAACTAGTAATGATAATTCCTTATCTCAGAAATTCAAACTGAAATTGGCTTTGCAACATATACGTTACTCTATAAGCAGTTCCAATATTTCCACGAATCAGGGAGCAGAGATCTAATTCCAGTTGTGTTCAATATATTGACTTATGTGCAAATACCTTTGTGAAAGATATGAAGCAACATCTTCTCCCTCCAGTTATGGATTAATTAGTAAAACTTGTATCACTAAAACCATTATTATCTCCCCCACCCCCAATAAATAAATAAAATTGAATAGAAAATATTTAGATTTGGGCATTGAATAACCTATAGCAGTTGATATGCTGCTAAACAAAAACAACCAACCAAACAAATTCTTACTCTTTAACCATCTACCTTGGGTGGCTCTTGGGCCTTGTACAGAGTAAATATTATTGTTAAAAAAAAAAAAACTATAACAATCAAGATGAAGACAACTGTTTGAATAGACCAGTGTAAAATAGTAGTAATTCCTTATTTCAAAAATTCAAACCGAAATTGGCTTTGCAACTTGTATGCCAGTCTATGATCAGCTAAAATATTTCCATTAATACATCTTTCTTATCTTACAGAATCTTCAATCATTCAGTCAGAGTCTACAATATGCCTGTTAATACAGGGTCACATTCACCTTCAGAGAATTGGACAGCTGTTCTACAGTAGGTATTTACAATTGTGGAAGAGTAAATTTGATAGGCTACTCCTTGTATTTCAAGTATCGTTTACAATTAATCAGGTTTTTGAATAAGAATATGTCTGGACAACAAAAATAAAGCAGATAAGTAGTTTGCTCCTCGCTCATATCCAAGTACATCAGTCTGCTAGGGTATCTAGCTAATCCCTGTTACAGATGCCTGCTCAGGTACATTAGTGCTTCCTCAACACCCATAAAGAAAACTGTAGTTATTTTTTCTTTATTTTCTCAATCATTTCACCCCAAGCAAGGCAATAAAGCCACCAAGATTCAAGGGGGTCTTGGTGGCTTTATTAAACTATACTATTAAGAAGAGAAGGCAATAAAAGAACAAAAATTAAAACAGATGATAATGATTGACATTGGATTTAAATTTTTGAAGATCAAAGTTGACAGAGAAGCAAGAAGCCAGAAGAAAGTTCCACAAGCGAGAAGTGCAATAGAAAAACTGTTGACATAGAACTTAGTCACATCTAGCCATTTCAACTATAAAATGATGAGATCTTGCTGCCAATCTAGTACGGCACTTAAATTCATAATGTTTAGGTACCACAGGGGAAAGTAATATTTATTTTAAATAAGACAAAAATGTGGTACCGGGGCAAAAGGTGAAGGCTGGTCTTCAGTCTGTCTTATCTTAAACTTAGCTGACCAAATATTTATTTTGAATAGGACAAAAATGTGGTACCAGGCTAAAAAGGGCAAAAGGGGAAGGCTGGTCTTCAGTCTGTCTTATCTTAAACTTAGTTGACCAAAAGATACCACAGTAATACTTATACCAAAACAACACATTCTTACTTACCGTTCTCACTACAGCCACCATAATACCACAAAGTCTCTATGTAATCCTAACTAGTTCCCATGTTTACAGTTTGTCTGTGGAGGCAGGGATAAAAATAAAAACATTTAAAGCCCAATGAATATATTGAATATAATTTATATATAATAAACTAAACATATTAGGGGAAAGTCCATCAGAACAATTACCATGAAAATAATTATAGAAAATGTTTAACCTGCAACTTCTGAGACATTTATTCCAGTTTCTGGAATAGAGAGAACATAATCTGGCATGATCACCAATTTGAACAAGATCAGTATACTCAGACCCTCAGTCACAATGACTTGTGATTTAATGTTAGCATTATCATTGACAGCTTCCAAATAGTTTAATCTACTCTGAAATTAGTATTCACTGTTATTACCCTCTTTTGGTATATACTGTTGACTTATATTCACAGCTACTGTATATCAGCAGCTTTCTGACCAGTCTCTCATAGCTAAGATTAGTCATTCAGGAAGAAGCTTCCCACTGCATTAATACAGTCTTGGGTACACTTGTATACCTGTAGAAATTTAACACAGTCTTAGGTAAGCTTGGACACCTGTAGAAATTTAACACCAACAGTCTTGGATACCCTCAGATACCTGTGGAAATTTAACACAAACCATCTTGGGTATATTCGGACACCTGTGAAAATTTAAATGATCCAGGGTGCACTCTGACACCTGTTGAAATTAGACTATTTTTAATCTAGCCATATACAAATGTGTGTCAGTTCGCATGTTAAAAAAAGACCTTGTGAGAAGATATATTTGATAAATACTGCAGATACTAAAGTATCAGTTTATATACCATATCAACTGCCCTTGATAAGATGTTTAAATGATAATGTTGATATTTTAAAAATACATAGGAAGAAGAATAAGTGACGGCAGAATGGTTAGAGCCTAAAAATAGATAACACAGGTCTTTGGTTCAATATTCAGTTCTTCTTCCTCTTCTATGTGCCAGGTCTCTTCAAGACATGGCTGATCATGCCTCTCCACAACTTCCTATCCTTTGTAGCTCTGAGTAATGTTTGTCTTGTCACCATTTTCCCAGTCCTTGTTCTGCTTTCCATTTACACAAACTCATTCAGCAGATCACTCGTCACTTTCCTTTGTCTCTTTTGCTTTCAATATATCCTGTGAGTGTCAAATTCTCCAAACCCTATTTCCTCATTATTTCTCCCAGAAATTTCAACCGTCTCTTACTGATTCTAAGTAAGTGTCATTTTGGTTTCCATTTTCCTCAAGAATTCCTCGATACTCACGTGTTCAGTCCATTGTATTCTCAGCATTCTTCTGTAGAACCATATTTCCTAAAGTCTTTTCTTCTTCATCTGTGAGATTGTCCAACATTCACTGCTATATAGGATGACCAATATTATATAACAGTTCAGCACTCATTTCTCTGTTTCCAATGAAATTTTCCTGTTTCTTCATATTCGCTTAGATTTTGGAAGGCATCTTTGACTATTCCAATGCACCTTTGGATTCCAGTGTTACATTTTACTTCCCAGATATTTAAATTGTTGTACTTGTTTGATTTTGGTATCTCCAGTTCATAGTTTGCATTTTGGACTATTCCTCTTGCTGACAAGCATAATGCTGTCTTCTTACAATTCACAGTTAGTCCTTTCTTCTTCATTTCCTGGACTACCTTCTTTAAAAGCTCTTGCAATTCATTGTCTGTGTTTGATATCAATGCTGCGTCATCTACATATTTTATATGGTTAAGCTTGTGTCTGGCAATAATAAATCCTGGTAGGACTTCTAGTTGTCTCAAGATTGTCTCGCTGTAAAGTTTGAATTAGTCCAGTGAGATTGATTAATTTGTTTTTTGCAGGTTATTTAACCCTAGAACACTAAACATGGATATATAGTACCCAGCACAAATTTTCCTATTTTTAATTACAATTGTCAGTACCTGATGATCTTATCTACATAATGTTTTTCAATTCCTATTAATGTTAACTCAAAGCACAAAGTTTGAAGTGCCTGCATGTAAAATATTTCAAATAAAGATTTATATTTAATATTTTTTTGATATTTTCAAAATCGGGTATGATATACGAATGGTTAGTAGTGGTGTAACTTTAATTGATGGTTAGTGTTCTAGAGTTAAAGCTAGAAAATATTTTTAGAGAAAAAGAAATTTTTGAAGATAATAATGATTTACTGATACATGTCCTACTAATTAACCCATAGCTGTGGGGGAAGAAGAGGTGAATTCATACCTTTATTTGCATGTAAGTGAATATAATCCACCCAATTAGAATTCGGCTTTCTGATCCTCAATTCTGAGCTGTTATCCATTATACCACCTACACATTCAAGACTATAGCACCTGGTATTCATAAATGGTTACCCCTCTAAGTACTGAC